ATAGGTCAGAATGGTGAATCTGTGAAAGTGTTCTATGAAAAACTTCATGCTATCTGGCAAGAGATTGATTGTCTGCGTCCGCATGAGTTTACTTGTTCTACTGATGGGGCTCATCGTCTGAAAGAAATTGAAGCCGATCGAGTTTATGATTTTCTTGGTGGGCTAGATCCACCGTATAATGGTGTTCGTAGTCGTATTCTTGCTCTTAGCCCTGTTCCACCCCCTCTCGAAGCCTATGCCATGGTCATGGAGGAAGATACCCGTCAGTCCGCTATGCTTGGAGGAGGATCGCTGGCTCTTAAGGTGGATCCACCACGTCACCGACCGGTTGCCCCAGCAGTCGCGACCGGTCGCCCGCCGTCAAAAAAGTTTGGATCTTCTGCTGGGTTTCGTCCTTCTGCCTCCACCTCTCTTGAAGGTCCGCCTAAGTGCCGCCATTGTAATGGGGATCATTACTCTGAAAAGTACTTTAAGGAGCATGGATACCCCGATTGGTTTGCTGACTACAAAGCTCGTATGTATGGTCCCAAGGCCACTTACACTGTGACTCCTGATGAGGCCCGTCCTCCAACTCCATCTGCAAATCTGTGTGCTTCTGATACTATGCCAGGTATGGGTTCTAATACTTGGATAATTGACACTGGTGCTTTTGATCATATGACTTATAATGATAAACTGTTTGATGAGTTGTTGCATAACCCTCGTGACCCATATATTACTAGTGCTAATGGTTTACCTTCCCCAGTTACCGGTGAAGGTACCATCCATCTTACTCCTTCTTTACCCCTATCTCATGCACTCTTGGTTCCCAATATTTATTGCAATTTATTATCTATTGGGCGTTTACTTGATACACTTAACGCTTCTGCTACCTTCTATTCTACCCATTGTTTTTTCCAGGATCTCAGGACTCACGAGAAGATTGGGCATGGTAAACGGATAGGGGGGTTATATTACTTACAGTTGCCGGCTGCAGCAGTTCGTGATTGTGTCGCTAATAAAGCTCTGAGTGGCAGTGTCAAGGACAAGCACCAACTTTGGTTATGGCATCGTCCCTTAGGACATCCGTCGTTTGGTTATCTTAGACATTTGTTTCCTTCATTATTTAGTTCATGTGATGAGTCTAGTTTCAAATGTGAGACTTGTGTAATGGCCAAGAGCCACCGTACTGTTTTTCCCTTAAGTAATAATAAAGCTGCTTTGCCTTTTGAGTTAGTACATTCTGATGTCTGGGGTCCTGCTCGTGTGACTTCTCATGGTTTCCGTTGGTTTGTAACTTTTATTGATGACTGCACTCGTTTAACATGGGTGTATTTGATGAAGAATAAACATGATGTTGCCTCTATTCTTC